ACCTCACCGGCTCACCTAGTGTACCCTCACCTAGTGTACCCTCACCTAGTGTACCCTCACCTGGTGTAGCCTCACCTGGTGTACCCTCACCTGGTGTAGCCTCACCTGGTGTAGCCTCACCTGGTGTAGCCTCACCTGGTGTAGCCTCACCTGGTGTACCCTCACCTGGTGTAGCCTCACCTGGTGTACCCTCACCTGGTGTAGCATCACCTGGTGTAGCCTCACCTGGTGTAGCCTCACCTGGTGTAGCCTCACCTGGTGTACCCCCACCTGGTGTACCCTCACCTGGTGTAGCCTCACCTGGTGTAGCCTCACCTGGTGTACCCTCACCTGGTGTACCCCCACCTGGTGTACCCTCACCTGGTGTAGCCTCACCTGGTGTAGCCTCACCTGGTGTACCCTCACCTGGTGTAACCTCACCTGGTGTACCCTCACCTGGTGTAGCCTCACCTGGTGTAGCCTCACCTGGTGTACCCTCACCTGGTGTAGCCTCACCTGGTGTACCCTCACCTGGTGTAGCCTCACCTGGTGTAGCCTCACCTGGTGTAGCCTCACCTGGTGTACCCCCACCTGGTGTAGCCTCACCTGGTGTACCCTCACCTGGTGTACCCTCACCTGGTGTAGCCCCACCTGGTGTAGCCCCACCTGGTGTACCCCCACCTGGTGTACCCTCACCTGGTGTACCCTCACCTGGTGTACCCTCACCTGGTGTAGCCTCACCTGGTGTACCCTCACCTGGTGTAGCCTCACCTGGTGTACCCTCACCTGGTGTACCCCCACCTGGTGTACCCTCACCTGGTGGACCCTCACCTGGTGTAGCCTCACATGGTGTACCCTCACCTGGTGTAGCCTCACCTGGTGTAGCCTCACCTGGTGTAGCCCCACCTGGTGTACCCCACCTGGTGTAGCCTCACCTGGTGTAGCCTCACCTGGTGTAGCCTCACCTGGTGTACCCTCACCTGGTGTACCCTCACCTGGTGTACCCCCACCTGGTGTACCCTCACCTGGTGTAGCCTCACCTGGTGTAGCCCCACCTGGTGCACCCCCACCTGGTGTAGCCTCACCTGGTGTACCCTCACCTGGTGTACCCTCACCTGGTGTGCCCTCACCTGGTGTACCCTCACCTGGTGTACCCTCACCTGGTGTAGCCTCACCTGGTGTACCCTCACCTGGTGTAGCCTCACCTGGTGTAGCCTCACCTGGTGTAGCCCCACCTGGTGTACCCCCACCTGGTGTAGCCTCACCTGGTGTAGCCTCACCTGGTGTAGCCTCACCTGGTGTACCCTCACCTGGTGTAGCCTCACCTGGTGTAGCCCCACCTGGTGTACCCCCACCTGGTGTAGCCTCACCTGGTGTAGCCTCACCTGGTGTAGCCTCACCTGGTGTACCCTCACCTGGTGTAGCCTCACCTGGTGTAGCCTCACCTGGTGTACCCTCACCTGGTGTACCCCCACCTGGTGTACCCTCACCTGGTGTACCCTCACCTGGTGTACCCTCACCTGGTGTACCCCCACCTGGTGTACCCTCACCTGGTGTACCCTCACCTGGTGTACCCTCACCTGGTGTACCCTCACCTGGTGTACCCCCACCTGGTGTACCCTCACCTGGTGTACCCTCACCTGGTGTAGCCTGGTGTAGCCTGTCCTGGTGTAGCCTCACCCTGGTGTACCCCCACCTGGTGTACCCCCCACCTGGTGTACCCTCACCTGGTGTACCCTCACCTGGTGTACCCTCACCTGGTGTACCCCCACCTGGTGTACCCTCACCTGGTGTACCCTCACCTGGTGTACCCTCACCTGGTGTACCCCCACCTGGTGTACCCCCACCTGGTGTACCCTCACCTGGTGTACCCTCACCTGGTGTAGCCTCACCTGGTGTACCCTCACCTGGTGTAGCCTCACCTGGTGTACCCCCACCTGGTGTACCCTCACCTGGTGTACCCTCACCTGGTGTACCCTCACCTGGTGTACCCTCACCTGGTGTACCCCCACCTGGTGTACCCTCACCTGGTGTAGCCTCACCTGGTGTACCCTCACCTGGTGTAGCCTCACCTGGTGTACCCTCACCTGGTGTACCCCCACCTGGTGTACCCCCACCTGGTGTACCCTCACCTGGTGTAGCCTCACCTGGTGTACCCTCACCTGGTGTACCCTCACCTGGTGTACCCCCACCTGGTGTACCCTCACCTAGTGTAGCCTTATCTACAGCAAGTATACTGTAGTATACATTTTACAGGACTGTGCATACAGGAAGTATACTCTAGTCCTGTAGAGTGTTCAGGAGCTCATCATATACACCCAGAACCTGTGTAGACGTCTGGGTGTATATGTTGTCCTCACACAGGTGGGGACAGGTAGAGACTCTGGACTCGTTACTATACACGGACAGATTCACGAAGCAGTAACGCAAGCACTTAGGAACCTGTACATCTTTCCTCAGTCTTTGACGCCTTTGGTTACATTTATTAAACATTTTACAGTCATGAAAACTTGCCAATCAACTGTTGTTATTGTTATAAACGGCCTCCTGGTGCTTCGGAGCTCATTAACTGTTTAATAATTGTAAAAAAAAAGCCGCCAAAGATTGAGAAAAGATGTACAGGTTCGTAAGTGCTTGCGTAACTGCTTCGTGAATGTCGTTAGTGTCTTGTTGCTAACGACAATCCTTCTAAGATTACATCCCAGTATCATAATCCCTCATTCTCTACATTTATACATTGATTTGTGGACTTAAGATCTCTACTAATGATCATTCCCAGATTTATATATATATACAAATGTCTCAAAGTTCAGAACTTAACAGCATTAAATTTATCTACCAATCTTTTGTCCAATTTAGAAACCTCGATAGATTGTCCAGGTTGAAATTTCAAGTCATATTCTATACCTATTTCCAAATTAATCGAAACATTTGGAAATGTTGGTGTTAAAGGTTGTCTAAATGGCACACACACACACACATTATATATATATATATATATATATATATATATATATATATATATATATATATATATATATATATATATATATATATATATATATGGGGGTAAAGAGCAGAGGTGCCAGTGAAGAGCTTCGGGCACTCCACCCACAACAATCCATCTATACCCACCTTCACCTGCCCCGGGGGGGGGGGGAATACCCAGTGGGTATCCTGCACACTGGGCACCCTCACACCACCATGGGGGCTCTAGTGCTCTCAGGATGAACGACACATGTGGTCTTCCCACCATATGTGTCCTGAGGCAGGTGTGTGTTGTCCAGTCACAGGGACAGCACCATCAAGATAGGCCTGGCAGAGAAGGTGTGGCTCTGGGGTCATTAGTTCACAGTAGTTCACAGTAGTTCACAGTAGTTCACTCTAGTTCACACTAGTTCACACTAGTTCACAGTAGTTCACAGTAGTTCACTCATATGACCTTCACGACGGCGTAATACTGTGAGGTAAGTTTGGCCAACATTAGCCCCGTCGCTCCCACGGTGAACTGTGCAGTGGTTCACCAATAATTATTACCGTTCACATGTTAACATGTGTGGCACTTGTGGCCAAAATGTATGTTTGGTTCAGACTGATGTACGCCTGTTTTGTCCAGTCAGTCTACACCTGTTGTGTCCAGTCAGTCTACACCTGTTGTGTCCAGTCAGTCTACACCTGTTGTGTCCAGTCAGTCTACACCTGTTGTGTCCAGTCAGGCTACACCTGTTGTGTCCAGTCAGGCTACACCTGTTGTGTCCAGTCAGGCTACACCTGTTGTGTCCAGTCAGGCTACACCTGTTTTGTCCAGCCACACACCTGTTTTGTCACCTGCAAATCTCCAGCTTATTTCTTTATCCGGATTTTTGTAATAAACCAACACTGAACCGAACCGGACACGTTCCTAACCGAACACTTGATCAGCGTCTCATTTGGCTCCAAGTTTACCCCGTGTGTCACTTGTTCATCCGAACACCGACTTAACCGAACGCTGGCATAAGCGGACACTGAGGAGAGAAGGCCTGGAGTGGCCGGGTGTGGAGCCGTCCGGACGATAACGTTCAGATTACTGGAGTCCAGTATCCGTTTCCCTTGATAATAACTTTACATATTTCCCAGTGTTCGTTAGTGGCCACCAGGGGCTCCTGTCCCTGGGGGGCCCGGGGCTCCTGTCCCTGGGGGCCAGGGGCTCCTGTCCCTGGGGGGCCCGGGGCTCCTGTCCCTGGGGGCCAGGGGCTCCTGTCCCTGGGGGCCATTCCCTGGCCTTCAGTGACTCCTGTCATGTCCCCCATTTACCGGGAGATGACAGGAGGGAGGGAGATGGGACAGAAAAGGGGAAGGAATGGAGGATGAGAGGAGAGGTGGATTACCCCAGGCACCGCCGGGTACCACTCCCAGTGTACGACACTTCACAACACAAGGATGAACTATCCTTGCACCAGATGTACGATAACGGCCGGCCACCTTACGCCTGCTCTCTCACTATACCATATGAAGACTATTGTGGCAGTACAACGGGATCGAACCCGCGTCTCTGATCACCTCAGGCACACACACACACACTCTCTGCCTACTGAACCATGATGGGCAAGCTTAAGCTTTACAATGCAAGACAAAAAGAATACAAATACCTGTAAAAGGCCTATTGGTCCATACAAGAGAGCTCCTATATATGTATATATATATCAACACAAACGCATTCATATGTACAAGTCTAACCTACGCTTGAAACACTACAGTGATCCCCACGTCTATTACCCGGTAATGGGTCCACAAATGAACAATCTTTATCTAAACCAGTATTTACCCCGGTCTTTGTAAGCTTCTCTAGTTTACAAATGTTACCAACAGTCCCTTTCTCACCTTCAGGAAATACTCGATAATAATATCAATTATTATCATTATAATGCGTTACAAATGCAGCCTATTAAGATACGCAACGGCTCATTAACAAATCTATCATTATGCATTGAAGCCGATAGGTTAAATGGGTTGTTTGATGAATATGATGATGTAAGACTCACCTGTTAGAAGGGGAGGCACCTGCGTGGCCATCATCACCTGGAGACAGTGACCCGTGGAGCACTGTAGGTCACCTGAGGCACCTCACACTACCTGGCATCACCCTACCAGTACCTTGGGTCACCTGACTCAACCTGAGGTCATATGGGTTCACCCAGTGCCACCTAAGATCACCTTGGCTCACCAAGGTCACCTGAGATCACCTGATACAGTCTAAGATCACCTGAGATCACCTACAGTCTTCTCCAGGGGCTACCTGGGGTCATCTTTGTAGGATCAATTCTGTAAGCCTGTGGAAGACAAGAATATCTTAGTAAAATATATTATTAAACACGCACGCACGCACACGCACACGCACGCACACACACACACACACACACACACACACACACACACACACACACACACACACACACACACACACGCACACACACACACACACACACACACACACACACACACACACACACACACACACACACACACACACACACACACACACACACGCACGCACGAACACACACACACACACACACACACACACACACACGAGTTTGAAGCTTGAGAGGAACAAATACACAAGAAGGAACCCAAGATTAAGAAATAAGGTGTAATATATGAAAGATGAGTGGAGGAAAGAGGTACAAGAGGTGTTAGAGGAGACGAGCAGAGATGAGAGAGGCATGTGCACACTACCTCAGTGGTGAGCAGAGGTGTCACGGGCACGATGACAGACACTTCTCTCAACCACAAGGGGCTCTAATTAACACTTCTCAACACCTTCTTAGTGACATGAGGGACACAAACTACTCCAGGTGTTCAACAGTTAACTTGATGAACACCTTCCAAGGCGACCCAGCCTCGTATATCATAGTACTTATTGCAACTATTTAGTCTACTGTTGCAACCCCAAAGTTCACCTTGTGTAATATTAGTTAAGACAGATTTTAAGAAAAAGGCTAAGAACTAAACTTATATATATATATATATATATATATATATATATATATATATATATATATATATATATATATATATATATATATATTAGAACTAAAACAACGTGTATTAGGCCTAGGATTGGTTGGATAGGTTAGGTCAAGTTAAGGTATAACTGAAATTCTTCAGTTATATTTCTGATTTTCTAGTAAGATATTTGAACTAATTCAGTAAGAGAAAACGAGAGTTACTGTGGGTCTAACAGTACATACTGACGCGTTGACCAAATAGTTGCTGTAATTATTATTATTTTAGGTGAATTGGCTGTTCAAAGCATACCTACGAGCAGCGACATCTAACAGCCTTGTTGATCAGACCACCAGACACAAGGACTGGTTAGAAACTGGTCTACATGGAGACAGATCCCAGGAACCTCCTTAACGTAAGCTCTAGGTAAGGTAATTTAGAGCCAGGATAAACAAGGCAAGGAAACCAGGATAAACAAGGCAAGGAAACCAGGATAAACAAGGCAAGGAAACCAGGATAAACAAGTCAAGGAAACCAGGATAAACAAGTCAAGGAAACCAGGATAAACAAGGCAAGGAAACCAGGATAAACAAGGCAAGGAAACCAGGATAAACAAGTCAAGGAAACCAGGATAAACAAGTCAAGGAAACCAGGATAAACAAGGCAAGGAAACCAGGATAAACAAGGCAAGGAAACCAGGATAAACAAGTCAAGGAAACCAGGATAAACAAGTCAAGGAAACCAGGATAAACAAGGCAAGGAAACCAGGATAAACAAGGCAAGGAAACCAGGATAAACAAGTCAAGGAAACCAGGATAAACAAGGCAAGGAAACCAGGATAAACAAGGCAAGGAAACCAGGATAAACAAGGCAAGGAAACCAGGATAAACAAGGCAAGGAAACCAGGATAAACAAGGCAAGGAAACCAGGATAAACAAGGCAAGGAAACCAGGATAAACAAGGCAAGGAAACCAGGATAAACAAGGCAAGGAAACCAGGATAAACAAGGCAAGGAAACCAGGATAAACAAGGCAAACAGCGGCGAGATAGTTGGCTTAAACAGGAGGTTCAAGCACACCTAAATGGCTTGTAGACTTTCAACCCATTTAAGACTTTGTTAGGCCAGTAATAGACTTGATCAGTGTTAGCCCTAAGGTGTTGGACCTGACCAGTGAAGGTCCTAAACTTCTCACATTCCATAATGGCGTTATTTGTGTATTATGTAAGGCTTCTGCTCCCCCCCTCTCTCTCCCCCTATTGTGCTGCAAGTGTTGTCTGTGTCTCAAGCGACCACGGTCTCTCAAACATGATGCCAGAACCAACAACCAGAAGAGTCACACATGTCCATAAAACACTCCAGGAGAATATAAATGAGACTTCTGAGAGGTCTTATAGAGGCATATCGATCACCATTAATTATTTTGAACTCAAAAGCATTCAAATCTTAATCGTTTTTTTCAATATTTAGGACTAGAGCAAGATACTGGAACCTGTTACCTTATTCTTCACCGTGTTCCCCCAGAACACGATTCAGCGATTACTTTACATCCAGGTCCACAATTACCTGTCGGTGGTCAGGGATGATTGGTGAAGCAATTGCCGTACTAGGAAATGAAAATTCATTTTCCAAATGAAATGGACCCAAAACAGCAAGTTTTGGGTCCCCTGGTAGGTTAGGAGGGCAGCAAGTTTTGGGTCCCCTGGTAGGTTAGGAGGGCAGCAAGTTTTGGGTGCCCTGGTAGGTTAGGAGGGCAGCAAGTTTTGGGTCCCCTGGAAGGTTAGGAGGGCAGCAAGTTTGGGTCCCCTGGTAGGTTAGGAGGGCAGCAAGTTTTGGGTCCCCTGGAAGGTTAGGAGGGCAGCAAGTTTTGGGTCCCCTGGTAGGTTAGGAGGGCAGCAAGTTTTGGGTCCCCTGGAAGGTTAGGAGGGCAGCAAGTTTTGGGTCCCCTGGTAGGTTAGGAGGGCAGCAAGTTTTGGGTGCCCTGGTAGGTTAGGAGGGCAGCAAGTTTTGGGTCCCCTGGTAGGTTAGGAGGGCAGCAAGTTTTGGGTCCCCTGGTAGGTTAGGAGGGCAGCAAGTTTTGGGTGCCCTGGTAGGTTAGGAGGGCAGCAAGTTTTGGGTCCCCTGGTAGGTTAGGAGGGCAGCAAGTTTTGGGTCCCCTGGTAGGTTAGGAGGGCAGCAAGTTTTGGGTCCCCTGGTAGGTTAGGAGGGCAGCAAGTTCTCCTAAGGTTTCAAAACCACATGAAAACTGTTAATATAAAGTGTCCTCTCCTAGTGTAATAGACTAAGCCAGCGGACCCAAAACAGAAAACGGGTCAGTATATCACTTTTGCCAACCGATTTCATTTCCTAGCACAGCGATGTTTAGCCTTAGTGCGCGTACGAGGGAAAAGTGACTTTATTTGTAAGAGGAGGACGGGTTGTTGTTGTTGTTGTACTACCCTTGTGTCTGGGTCATTCCAACACCGCCATCACCCACGCTCCTCTTCCTGACTGAAATGTGTCATTGTACAATTCCCCCTCACCTTCCTTACTCTTCAGTGACCTTCGCTAAACACTACCATTCCTGTATCCCAGTACTATATATATGAAACATATCAACAGTCACTATTTCTTTAAAATAATAATAATAAAAACAGTTAAAAAATCCCTTTCTTTCATTTATATAAATAATGTTGTGTAATCTAGAGTAAATTAACGCAATTATGAACGCACTCAATAATGTTTTTGCTTTGACTTTCAATGTGATAACCTGGGGAGGTCCCAAGTTGTGAGGAAACCCTGACAACATCATAGGCCATGATGAGCCCCTATTATGTGCTGTGAGTGATGAAGGTGATGACGGAGTTATGGGGTAACCACCATGGTGTCACCGGATAACTTTACTGGCGAGAAGCAAAGTTGTATCTGTGGTCACTATCTTCTAGCACACACTCTCACCTTTCTTCTTGAGGGCGTGGGGGCGTGGCCCGTGTGAGTGTGGGGGCGTGTGTGAGGGCGTGGCTGGGGGCGTGGCCCGTGTGAGTGTGGGGGCGTGAGGGAGTAGGGGCGTCCTCTACAACAGTAACCCGCATATTAACATACCATTCTGGTAATACTTCTCCGTCACTCTCATAAGTTCTCTTAACCATTCCTCGTCTGTTCTATAAATTATGATATCCTCGTGTTCTGTTGGCAGTTCTCAATTGTTCTTCCATACACTTGTGCTTCTTCTATTTGCCTCCAGACACTGCCTATTGAACTATGGGGTAATGGTCGTCTTGCTTCCCTCAACCCGTCCTCTTAAAAATAACGTGGCTTCTCACTGGTATGCGCTATGGCCAAAAATGGACGTAATTTGAAATGAAATCGGCTCACGAAAGTGATGGACTGTCCCATTTTCTGTTTGAGTTCTCTGGCTTACTCGGTTAGGTTAGCACAGGAAACATTCAATTAACCGAGTAAGCCTCAGGACTCATGGTGTTTTATGATGTTTTGAAACCTTAGGGTAATTTCCTGCCCTCCTAACCTACCTGAGGACCCTTAACTTACTTTTTGGAAAAAAAAATCCAAATTTATTTTCAATCTTTTTTTATTTTTAAATTACGTAATTTTCTGCCATACGGCCAAATTCAGACGTAATTTGTAAGAGGAGAGGTTGTTGTTATGAGTGGTGGCGTGAAGTGTTGAGTGTCCGTAGTCCCTCATGTTCTGTGTTGACTTTCCTCTAACTTCTGCTCCCCGCACTATTCTCTCCAGGAATGATCTCACCTTATGGTATTAACGTTTCTGGTATGTTAGCCTTACTCTCCTCCCTTTTATACTCATCCAATACCCTTCATTGTCACTACATATTCCAGTATTAAAACTTCCATGTTAGTGGCTCCTGTTGGCATTTTATGGTCAATGTTTTCAGTATGTATCGCTGGTCTAGCCAAGATGGTTGTTGAGAGAGACCACAGCTGGTTCTACTTCCTTCCTTCTTGACATGTTGTCTGCCTCTCTACCACGTTTATCAACTTCTCTCTTCCCGTCTCTTCCTCTGCTTTGGGCTCGATACTTCCCAGTCAGTCTGGCCATGATTGAAGTCTCCCATTAGTGACAACTGTGCTCTCAGTCTGTGAGCTGCCTCTCACGCTGCACTTGCGGGATATATATGTTTATTCTGTTCGTAATTGTGTATTCGTGCCTCAGTTTTGTGTGCTTGTGAGTTGAGGGAAGGAGCGAAGAGAAGGTGTAGAGCACACACACACACACACACACACACACACACACACACACACACACACACACACACACACACACACACGCGCGCGCGCACACACACACCTTGTCACCGTCTGCCCGGAC